GTCACGCCAGCCAGTGGCGCCAGATCCCCCAAGCTGGCTGAGAAAAGAGGGAGAGCGGTAGATACAACGCCAGTCCACAATCACTTCATCCATGCACAAGTCACCGTCCCTGCACAACCCTGCTGTGAAGCCAACAGTAAACATCGTCAAACGGTCGGATTGTTGGTGCCGAAAGGTAAGACGGAAGAAGAGGGTTCCGGTATATATTATATTATAACAGGAAATGGGATGAGTGGAAAAGTAGATAAAGGCCTAATAATAAAGACTTCTAATGAACTAGCCTACAAAACAAGATTGTCGGAAATGCAGGGCAGCATCCGCGGAGACATGGTTGCGGCGCTTACAACCATTCACGCGGCCTCTTAAGTACTTCAAGTAGTTTCACTTGGCGGGGATCATTTGTGTGGTCATGGCAGTAGACCCATTTCTGAGAACAAATGACGGAAAGAACAGTTAGAACATGCCAAAAAAACAATATACCGTAATAGAAGACTAATGGTTGCCTTAACTCAGTACTGCTTTTAGGAAATATCTTCTTTTGAAGGTTTTGGTAGAGACGGAATCCTTATTTATACACAATTGACTGAAAATCGTAGTGTTAACCAATATTTTAAGAGCGATTTGAACCTAGTCGTAATCGAACTGTCGAACTGTGGCGGAAGGAAATTCCTCTTAATATACACAAAAATGGCACGTTAACGATAACCCCCGATAAATCCATTTAAATTTATTCGCCACTGACCGGCATGTCTACGTGTGATCTTGTGAGATTTCTTATTCCCGTGACGCCGCAACCAGCGCAATCAAATGAAAATCTGGTTGCCTTAGTCCAACATACCTCATAGAATATAGGAATAAAGAAGCGTACTGGAAGGGTTTGTGAAATCATCTATAAATACAAACTGCTACTTTGGACTGCTCGGTAACAGCCGCTCTTTAAATTGCGCCTAATATAGAAGCATCTGTATCCGAAAAGATTATTTTCAAACGTCATGCTACTTGTGCTGTTTTATTCACTTTTTACATTAAAAACTTACGTTTACACAGTGACCCCAATTTTTTTCCTTTTTTTTCGGAATATTCCGGTTTTCTAAAAGAACTGTTATTTCTAGACAAGGATATAGTCCTTGATAAACGACAATATGGCTTGTTTTTATTAAGAGGTTTACTCTACTGCTGTAAGATTTTGGAGGACGCGGTTTGGTCAGGGATTTTCTAGTAGAAATTGTTGAACTTCATGAGATAGGGCAGCTACCTATCAAGAGAGCATTGTATCGGCTGTCAGGGCACAGACTAGCTCGAACAGGCGGCCAAAACTAGCTTGATTCGAGCTCGTTGTGCTATTAGGGTAGGAAGGCGATTCCTCAAGGCTGCCTTTTGATTTGAAGAAAACCAAAATGGCATGGCCTACTTACGAGGCTGCAGGCTCATCAACTTCCAAATAATGTACCCAACAAGCGGGATGCTGAGCTTGTGGGTCAGATAACCGGCAAAAATAGTCAAGCCAGTGATGGAATCAATGACGGCTGCATTTGGCAATCTGGTTACGTAAAAAAAAACAGAAGAAGTTAAACCCGTAAATGTCAAAATGTTGACGGGATGACGGAACGGTGCACTTTTAAGTCGCGCACTGACACCTCACTCTGACAGCAGGGTCGGTAGGGGCTTGAAGCGGGATTACGGCGGAGCAAAGGTGAACGAAGGGCGGTGCTCTTTCATAAGTTCCACGTGCGGGTGATTTTGCCTGTGTTTATATCGCTCTTCGGGTAAGTAAGCTGTTGTTGACTACTAAGGCCTGAGAGCGAAAACCCGATTACGTTTTCGAATGGTAAAAATGTGAGACTACGAAAAAACAAAAGGATGGGATTGATGCTGATGATGATAATAATGATGGGGGAGGAGGAGGGGGGTTAAGTGAAAACTACTTACGGCATAGAGCGGCATAGACACGAAGACGCTTTCGATGCGTGCATCAGGGGTCAGTAGACCGAACTTGGTGCCACGATCGTAAATCAGGTTGAACTCGACGTATCGACCACGGCGAAGCAACTGCCACTGCCTAAAAGTTCAAAAAGGAATGCCTTGTGTTGGATAAGTCTGACAGAACAAACGGCCTTAAAATGCATAAATATAGCTCACGAATCAGACCTCCTACAGCACAGAACACTGACATGAAAAATATGCTGGACGCCTTTGGTTGCCGACCAACCTAGCCCTCGAGTCTTTGGTGCACTTCATGTTGGAACTAAGCAGCTTTTGGGATGAGACAAACTCCTAAACTTCTAAATGCGCCTGGCAGACAAAAAAGTAGTCTAGTAAGACCGGTTGTCCTCTCCACCCATACGAACAAAACTGACACCGTCCAACCTATTGGGCGGGAAAGAGAGGCAATGAAGTGCCATACAAAAACGTGTCAACAGCTTCGAGAATGCCGCATGTGAAAAGGTCCCTCGCCTACAATTGGTGAGTTTTCAGTTGGGTGTTCTACTTGGGTAACCTATTTTGCACCTAGTTTTTATCCATCTTAACCTGATGTCTCGGAGCAGAACGCGACGCGACAATCTTTAGGCATGTGCGCAGCCAAGGTGGAACTTGAATATCTCCTTAGTGATTCGACAAGCAGAACTGCGCAAATTCTGACATCCCTCTCGGCAACCCATCCGAAGATTATCTTGCCCTTCCCGTCCTGGTCTGCGAAAGTGCACCGGCGAATCAACGGCTTCAATCAGTTTCCTCTACCCTTGTTGGAAACACTTTTTCACCACTGACGCCTTGGGTAATTTCGAACCGACGTAAAGACAGCTGTCTGCTCAGCTATGCGCATCGAACGGATGTGTTGATGTAGACAGTCGGATGGAGTACTTTTTAGTAGAGATTACATGAGCATAAGTCTCCAGGACACTGGACACCGGAGGTTCGGATCAACAAACGTGGATTTTCGAGTATTAATAATCAGGTCGATAAAATAATAAAATTTAGGGTGGTGCAACGACCAATAACAGGGTTGGCCGCGTTTAGGCACGCTGGTTATCATAATCTAGTTCAGTCAGGGACTTGGACAAGGGGAGGAGGAGCAATCTATGAATGTTGTCCAAGACACA